GGTTAATCAGCCTCTAATTCATCATTTATATACACATGTAACATGGTTTAAGGGTAGATAGTATAAAAATATTGAGTGGCTAATATTGGAATAGAAGGAATATTATCACTTAGTAAAATCGGGACTTTTTCACTGGTGAATCCGATTTCTCAATTTAAAAGCCACTTAGTATCTGTTTTATATAACTGACACACAGATCCTTGTCATTTTATTCATGTCTGAAATGGGCATGAACGTTGGTACATTTGTCATGCCTGTTGACATCACCGCCATGATTGTGTCTTTTTCAAGCAACACAGATCATGCCTTACTTTCTCCCCAGGTTTTGGTCTGCAGCGCTCTATTGTTCAAGATTAGTGAGAGTCAACTATTCAAAAGCCATGAGAACAAGGATGATCGTTATCCCATTCATCATGGGCAAATGGGAGTTCTAGAGCCCCAGCATGAATGGCAGCAATAATGATTGTTATACTATGGTCATAGATATTGAATTTTTATTGGTTGCGAATTGGTAATTTGATATGCCACAAACACATGTATATCGTTTATGATTGAGTGTACTGGTGATGTTGCCGTGATACAAAAAAAGATGGATAACCTTGATCTTTCCCACAGTTGATGTGTTGTTTCTAATTAATTGTAATTGTGTAACCCCGGTCACAAGGTTGTGTAGCTGCACTGGTACTAAGCTACTTCATGTATGAGATGTGCCTTGGGGGACAGTCAAGCAGCTATGTCTGTTGTCAGCATGACTGCAGTGTTTGTTTTCTTGGTTCATTCATTTTATTTTTAATTGGACCAATTCTGCCGTAATTTCTTTATGATATTGGCAGATGACAGTAGATTTTTCTCTTGTACCGAAGATGAGATCAGAAATTAAATTTTTGTACAGGAGAGCACCCTTCATTGGGTGTGCGAATATGGTCATCACGGTTCTAAATTCTGTGTCGCAACAAGCATGGCAGGGAAGACCCAACTGTTACAGACGTTACCTGCAACAGAATTGGATAGCTTTGTGGAAAAAATTTTCAGAAATGTTTTAAAAAAAGATGGTACTCTCTACCAGTTGTTTAATGCAGATGAATTTGTTCAACTTAAATACGTTGTTGGTGAAAACAATTTCAGTGAAATGAGATGCATTGCTCCGATGTCTTGGCACTCATCCAATTCACACTGAACCAAAAGTACATGTACTAGCAAACCAGAGCTCAGCCAATTAGGATAAAGAACCAGCAAGAGATTTTTAGCTCCTTGATGTATTAGAAGTTGACAAACTTCTTCTTGATGGAAAGAGGGAGCTAGTGTGTCCCAAATCGATTATTCACGCAAAATAAACCATGTTTTATTTGTGTTACCATACCACACACATAGCCATTAAAATTTCAGGAGCAAGGAAAGGCAGCATCTTCGTGGGCCTTTGTCTGTTCATGTACAGTGTAGAGTGTGCGTACGGGAGTACCTGCAGGTCACGTGCGACAGCTCCTTGAACTGTGCCTTGGAGGCAGTTCAACACTAGTGCATATTTGACATGCATGAGTGCAAACTGGCAAACAGCAAAAATAGCAAGTGGTCTGTCCTGATAAATGGACCAGTGAAAGTTCAGCTCTCAATCATGAAAACAGCTTTTTAGGCCATTGATTTAACAAATGATTTTGTGGTTCAACCCATAATACAGAGAATGATGAATGCAAGATGTGACACACAAGCTGGTGTCTTATGCTTGACAAGTGAACAAACAGGGTAGTTCTGATTAACAAGATAAATACAATGTACAATGTATGTAGAAAAAGCACTTGAGACATGCATCACTGTAGGTATCTTGTTCACTTTTTTGAACTTTAGTACAAACCCCAACCAGTGCTTTGTGTCAATTAATATGGCCCATGGGTACTTAGGTTGCATAACATTTTACAATACTAATTGATGCATTGCTCCAATCAACTTTTATGCTAAAACACATTTGTTGGATAAAACGTTTGCATATTGCATTCTACAAGATATACAGTAACAAGGGATTGGATTGACTCGGAAATGTGATGAAAAGCAGATTACATAAAACATGGTACCTCATGTAAAGGGGTTTCCATGATGAAAATGCTTTGTGATTTCTTTGTGAGTGGTACTCTATCATGTAGTAGTCTATGCATGTAATCAAACTGGTGTACAACATATTGTAAGTTCAGTTTACCATACGCAGAAACTAAACCATTGAACAATTTTTTGCTGTTTTAGAAAAGGGATGATGAAGCTCTTTTACGTTAACCAACTTCAACTGGTGAGCTTCAACTGTAAACTTTAAATTTTGTATCATCTGTCAAAGGTTATTGACCCCAACCAAGGTGATGTGAATAATGGAGAGACAGCAAATTCTGAGTCAAGACAGGGTATTTCAGCCATGGTGCTGGCCTCCTCTCTCCAGTCACTGATTGTGAATGCTGGGTCCTGCTTGGCCAAGAAAGAAGCTGGCATGCTGGTATTGGATGCCTTACTGGATGTACATACGCCCTGTATGGGTAAGTCTGAATATGCATGGTTTGGGCATATTTGACGTGGATCCTGGAATTTCATTATAAAACTAGACTGGACGTGTAAAGTTAATTGGAACAAACACGACATCATTTCCCTGTCTTTATATTATTGTGTTTGTAGGTATGATATGCTTGTCAACAGCCTGTCTCTTCTTTCCTTATGAGTGTGCACTTCAACTTGGGATGGATTCCTTTGTAATCCACAGTTGTGTTTTCATACAATGAAGCATACAGTGCAATACAAGTTGGATTCCCTTGTGTTTTCCTCAGTACATGTACTGTTTAAGTGTATACTAAGTATATGCAGGGGTGTGAAATCTACGCTTTTTAGCGGCTATCTGCTTTTTTGGTGAAACTGCGGACCATTCAGTCATTGTGCTGTGATGGGCTGCAAATGAAATATCAGTACTCATATGTGTGTCAGTGGGATTCGTTGCAGTTGTTCGTGTGTGAGCAGAAGTATTGACTAACAAGCTCCACTATAACTTGTGGTGGCATACATTTCATTATGACTTTGCGGCTTGAAGTAACATTAGTAACTGTTCGCTTTCGCTGATAGAGGGCTTCTTGACAACGTGTGTGTGTGGCACGGAATGTTCTTGTGCCGTGCATTCTCACACGGTTTTGCGTAATTTTTATGGGCTTTCAAACAATTTTAGACATAAACTCATTGTGATATCAGTGCAAAACATGTACGATTGTCCCAAGAGGTTCTGACTTAGGTACAGTCTTTGATAAGACCGATCTTTAAGTTATAAATCTGCAGAAATAGACCGTAGATGTGACAGGCAGGCAACACGGCACATTCCGCGCCCAGAGAATCCAAATGCGTGGATATGCAATGTACATGATATATGCACGTGTGTGCATTATTTCAAGAACTGAAATTTTGAAAACATGCTCATCGAATCAGGTGGGAAAGGGCCAACTCACTCTACAAACTTCGATAGTTACAATTTTGGAATACCTATTACTAATTCATTTGGAAAGAGTTCAATGTACAGACAACACTTCATGTCTTTGTGCACAAACTTTTGACACTTTTCTAAAAAAACCAACAACCTGTTTTCTAAGTAAATGCTTTAGACTTTTCTCAGTTATTTTTTTGTTTTAGGATGTTTTCACTTTCTGATGGCTGTTGTAATATTTTAAGGAAAAATTAGTCTGTATACATGTATGTAACTCTTTCCATTAATTTTAACCTCTTCAGGAATTTGAGACAAATATGAAGAAAAAGTAAAATTTAAAATATGCACAGCCTAAATTGTAAAAAAAAAATCAATGGTTACACCAGGAGGCTGTGAAATGCACCATAGAGCATCTACATTTCAAAGTTATCACGGGGCCTTTAAGTGGGCCTCAGACCTCATGCCAAATATGCATTTTCAGCTATTTTTTTATATGCCACTCACACCCCTGCATATGAAACCTTGATTACTCAAACTCAATAAGTTGAAGCTCACTTTATCTCAAAATAATACTTCATTCTCCTCAAGAGTATGAGATAGGTGCATGCATGCTGCTTAATTTGAAATACCTGCATTAAAAAACCTCCGCTTATATTGAAGTTATTTTTAATATCAATCCAAACTGCTAACGGAACAGTTTCAAAGTAGTGTCAAGAGATTGCAAACCTTTTTTCCTGGAGTCATCACTACCAATGCAATTTGTCTTTTCATTTTGGGGTACATTGCATGGTGCAATTGTGATCTGCCTATACACAGTATCCAGTGCAAAAGTGCAAGGAATCCTAACTTTCATATCAAGCGATCACTGCTCGTGGCCAAACTGTATCCTGCATGTTAGTAGTCCAATCACTGGCTCTTTGCTGTGGTGTTGTAACGGCATTAGAAACCTTTGAGTGCATGCATGTCTGACTTCTGAGTTGGCCAAGTTGTTGGCCAAGTTGCATTAAAGGACTGATAGTGTGACCACACATTGTATACCTAAGTACTAGTGCGTATGGAGGTTTGTCACTGCACTTGACAAGTGACTGGAAACAGTGCCATATGAAGTTGCTCAAGTCGACGTGTACGTAATTTACATGTAGTAGCGTTAGTGTGAGCAATCATGTCAGACTGAAGCAACGGTAATTCCAATGTCGATGCTTTTTCCGACCATGACAGCGATCAGTTGTCATGTTCGTCTTATTCATTTGACAAAAAAAGCCACATTGAAAGAGCTGATGAGGCACAAGAACCAGAATACACTCACGAAGAGATTTTGCAACTCGACGCTGTTGGCCACCGGCAAGGCAGCGACCCGGATCAACAACCAAACACTGACTGGTCATGATTTTTATTTTTTTCCTGCAAAAATTTGTCTTTCTGAAAAGACGTGATTGTCCTCCCATTGGCTATATAGTAGAGTTTTTTTGTCCATGGTTGTAAGCTAGGCTACTTCGCCAAAGTTGGTGTTCTATTGCGACCAGTTTTTTCACCTTGCACTGCAAGTCACTTGCTTGGCATCGATGCATACGCGTGACGACTGTGCGGCATCATTTGCACTGGAAAATAGTCCACGTGCGCCAGTGCAATATATTCCCATTTTACACCGTTTACGCGTAGTGCATGTATGGGTGTACATGTACATGTCAGTACTGGAACGTGTACATACATGTAAACATGCACATGTATTTGGAAATTTTGAGTCTAAGTTCAAATCTGAGTGTGTGTTATCCACAAATCTAACCTACAAACGCTGGTGTGAAAAGTCGCTTGGGAATCTACAAAAACTGTTCTCCGGGGAATTGGTTTGATTGCGACAATAGCCACCGACAACACTTATTGGAATTCTGTTGAAATTCACAATTCACTATAGAAATTATTACACATGTACGATGCGATGCAAAACAAAATTAACACAACGCATCAAATTAGTTGTCCAGTAGCTCTGCCCCGTGTTAAGGGAAGGGCATAAGAAACAAGACCAAACAAGGTTGACTTGACACATACGAGTTACCTACCCGACTACGCGCCAGAGCAGAGCATATTATTCTTGTGCGGACTGATCAACTTTCTTGCCAGAGCTATGGATTCTTGTCTGGAAAGTCCAGTCCATCCAATGACATCACATTTTTGCCTAGATTTGTCTGCTGCCCTCATCGACCTATTTCGATAAGATTTTGTGAAGAGCTCAGGCAGAGACTAAAAAACACACAGAAAACGTCAATTTTTGCTGATTTAATGACATAAAAGAGGAGTCAATCAAACTTGGTGTATATAAGACGGTTGAAAACTATCATATAACGTCAATTTAACCCTACATGGACCATCCCCTTTAATTATACAGCAGATAATTTTATTGTTAAGAAAAAATAGGAAATCAGAGCAAGAGTGTTAGTGAAAACAGAAACCTAAAATGAATGAAAAGAAGGAAAGGGAGTTGGCAAGTCATGGTGAATTCATATGTGCACAGCTTGCTTTGGGAAGAAAAATCAGGAAACTTGAACCTTTTGTAGCTCAAGGTTTGGATCTATTCACTGTTAGATTTTTTTTTAGATTTCGCTGAATGTGCCAAAACATGTCATCCTAATAAATGCTTTCCCCTTTCTTCTGTTTCCATGTCAGTTAATGCCAAGCCCAAGCTGTGGTCAAGTATATTACACAAGTTGGATATAGAGCCAGTCCAACTAGTAGCAGACAATGCACAGGTTATCTTTACCATGTTGTTAAATGGACAGACTGACTCCAGAGAGGTAAGTACATGTAGTCCTGCAATCCAATGTATCCTTACTCCATGGATGTGATATCATGGACTAAATGTATGACTTCCAAACTACACAGATGCACAAAACGTGTGTCGTGTTTTAGTCTACTTGGAGAGTTGTAAGTATTCATCCGTAATGCACAAAAAACATTTAATGTACTTCATTGTGTACCGATATTGACTGACATGATTGGTAGAATATAAATCACCAGTCATACAATAAAGTTTTCATACATGTATGATGTAACACATAATAATGAACTGTGTAAGTAGAAACAATGTCACGTGGAAGTATGACCAACAATAATGTTTGAGAGTGCAGTGTTAAGAACAATTTCATGAGGTGACAAATGGTATTTCATCTGTTGCTAAATGCAGTCATCTTTTCCATCACACAAATGTATATGTGAAACATTCATTATGCTTGAAAAAATCCCATCATGACCTGTGTGACACTTTGCTTAGTCTGAAAAGTAGTTATTGATTTAGTCCCGTACAACTCTACCGTGCCAGCCCAATCCAGGAACAGTTGCATCTGTTTGTATTTTGAGATGCTGTGTTCAACCACTTGTGAATCATGTTTTTTTTCTTTTGCCTAAAATTTGACTTTCGAAATACGTAAGATGCAGTTGCCATATTTGATATACAGCCAAATGCTCTTGATACTGACTCACAACCAGGGAGTAATATCTGCTTCATCAACAGGTCAGAAACAGCAGCCAAATTCAAAACACTGTCTGCCTTCACAGACTTCTCTAGCAGTCACTCAGGGTGTTGAACCTGTCAGCCATCTCTGTATATGCAGACTTCCAAATTATGTTAACATGTTTTCAGCTGCCAACTAGTAAAGTACATGCTTGTTTCCCCTTTATTAGAGGGGCTGTTGTGCAAAGCCATGTCTGTATATGTATGCTTTCTCATTGTAATCAAACAAAAAGTAAATGGGGACCAAGTACAGTGTCTGGGATTTTACATGAAAGGTAACCACCACTCACCCTTGTTGCTAGGTTATGTATCATCTTGAAGGTTAGGGTTATTTCAAACACATTCTTACTTCAAATGTTACATTTATGCATGTCACCTAGCTGTTGACTGTTGTTTGCAGACATCCTGCAATGCTACAGCAACTGTTGTCAGGCTAGCCCCAAGACAGATCCTACCAACACTTGTCAATCATACAATGGGTTGTCTTGAAAACCCAGACCTGGCAACTGTTACCAAGGAGGAATATGACATCATGAAAACACCAGAGGGAGAACTGTACAACAAAGTCGTCATTGAAAAGTATGTCTGAGAGTCAGAATTGGTTGACTTTGATGAAATAGGTATTTCATGATGTAAACTCTTACAGGGTTTTCATCATTGTCTTAAAACTTTCTGCATTGAGCTAAATCTTTAGTAAGTTATCCTCTTAAACACTCTGTTGGATTTTCAGAGGTGCTTTTGTTACAGTCAGAAAAATGCTTAAGAACAATTGGACATGTTGTTGCCTATGAAGGCTACTCCAAGTTGTCATCACTGAAGTGGTACCACACACATGCACAATTGCACCTGCAGTGTGAATTTTGAAACTTAAAGCGTATATGCCTTTTAGCAAGTCTTAACAGCCTGTTGGTAGAGGTATTAGTGTCCTCTTACAACCATGTACCAACACCCTGACACCTCAGTAAGGGCTTGTTCTTGTGGTCACTGGACCCCTCTATAGATATGCCAGCATGTGACCTCTGGCGTAGCCGCTTATCAAGAAAGTCGTCAAGAGTTGTTGTCTGTAATGTTTCTGGTTTAATTATGTCATGCATAGTCAAAATATGCATGACTTTAACAAAACTTGATATAAAACAGATCCAGTGATGTGGCCTGTCCGTGAAGGACTCCTTGCATACAAATAGTATTGGAGATGATTGGAGCTCATTGGAGCAAGCTTTGTTGGTGACATTACTAATCTGTGTGGTTTTATATAATAAAGACCCTCTTTTACCTTGATCTCACTGCCACACAAGACAGGAACATGGCAGATAATGTGTGCCTGTTGAAATAATCATACTAACTGTTGAAGTATAGAGAAACTTGTTAAAGTCGTTTGTATTCTGTATCCATACATCACTGATACAACTCCTTATGGACCCCATTGTATTGTACAGGATGGCAAATGATGGCCCAGGTACTGCTAACATGAAGAGAGAGAGTAAGGCATACTCTTACAAAGACCAAATCATGGAACTTGAACTCAAGAAGGTTAGTCAGGAGCAGGGGTAAATACCTTAGACAGCTCATGAAGGAAAAAAACATAAATGCAATGAACAAGTCTTTAGCATGTCACATCATGGTTTTGAAGTTTAGCAATGATCATGATGTAAAACTTTAATAATATTCAAATCTTCACTGTGCACAGAGATTGGAAACAAGACAGTTCCACTTGTTTGGTACTCTTTAGAGTATGCTATGACACTGACTGCATTCAGTCTATAAACTCTAACCTCTTCTCAAAAAACACCCAAACCCATTACAATGTGTTACACTATTTTAGTGGCACCTTCTTTGGATTTATAAAAGAAAACTGTAATAGTAAGCCCAGTATACATAGTCACAATGCATCATAATTGAAAATTTACCCAGAGTTATTTGAACAGCGATTGTGAATTTGTCAAACAAAATGACCATTAGTAAAACTATGCCACCTGTTGTTTAGCATTTGTTTAAACACATTGCAGAGTTGTTGGTACACATAAGGGCATGTGCTGTATTATGGTTTGGTTTTCTGCATTCAGGAACTGGAAGCCAAAAAGAAAGCCCAGGGAGTCAAGATAGAAGTCAAATTGACAAAGAAACAGCAGGAAGCAAAAGATGCTGAACTTGCCAAAGAATCAGTGATAAGAAAACGATGTAAACAGGTATGCCCTCAACGGATCAGCCAAACAGCAAGCCAAAATCTATCTGATCAGCAGGTCGTGCTCCTGCTAATGCGATAATTACGTGAGACACAAAGAGCAGAATTCAGTTAGTTCATAATGATATCAGTTTTTTAATGACTTTGGTTTAGATAGCCATACACCAAAGACTAAATACCAGTAATGATAACTCTGTGTCGTATTGCTCAAAGTAATTGTCCTATGACTATTCTGATTAATAATTGTAAGAGTGGGCCCCTGCACTGATGATACGTAGAGCTAGTAGGGGCCCACAGGCCACTGAACATCATACGAAAATATACGCGAAATGAAGTGAGGCTTCATTGGTACAGATGACTGTTGCTTCTACCCTTTAAGCATGATTACCCCTAGAGTGTGCAGTCCTTCTAGTGAGATTGGTCTGTGTTTAGTGGTTATATTTCGAAATGTCTCTGAATGAGCCAGTTTAGTATTCCAACAGGACATGCCTAGTACAAGGCTATTCGGGAATAACTATGTGCACATGTGATAGTCTGTCCTATCAGAGTAGCCATACACTGACTTGCACGGGCTTTGTTCCTGAAAGACTTTGGCTTTTTGTAATACGGAACTGGCTCATTAAGAAAATGCCCACACTGGTCAGAATGTACCACATGTAGAGTAATCCTGTGACCAGATGTACAAGGCATATCTAAACTACTATCCCACTCCTGCATTCCTGTGACAAATGGCCCATTTACAGCTTACTGAAATCATATACTTCTCAAATGTAAGAGAATATATGTGTGACGTACGTAATATGATGGTTCCACCTCGGTATCATTTTATAATTGTTCTCAAAAAGTCTATATCCTTAACATAAATTACTTTAAAATTTAAAAAAATCTTCAGTTTGCTGTAGTTTTTCCCATGTCTCTGTTGAACCCCAGGTTCAATTACTTACTGACAAATGTACCAGTTCTATTATGAGAAGAAGCTTGAGAGAAACCAGGAAATATCAAAACAAAGTTTTGTAGATTTGAAGTAATTATATATAACAGGTTTGGCCCTTACCCAAAGGTACCCAAAAACCTTGAGTCCCATCTGAGTAAGCTTGTGAGGTTTTTTTCGCAAGCTCTCGGACAAGCACTGAGCATACA